CCAGCCCCCTCACAGGTAAGAGCCTCTGCCTTACATCTAACCCGAACTTCCCCTGTTTCAGTTTGAACCCATCACCCCTTGTCCTATCACTACCGTTGTGATGAAAAGTCCCTCTCCAGCATCTTTGTAGGCCCCCTTCAGACACATCCCATTAAAGAGACCCCCACAAAGAACTAGTTTAGATCAGGAGCTACGTAACTAAATAAGATACGATAACCCAATTAAAAGAGTCCAGGTTTCACAACCAAAATCCTTGGTCTGGTAACAGGAAACAGAAGTGGCCAGCCCAGGCCAGGCTATCGCTCCGCTTGCCGGGATGCTCTGCCTCTAACACATGCTCCGTCCTTGTGGAATGGGACACGTCTGCAAGTCTGACCACATTCAACAAGTCTCAGACACATGAAGTGCACATTTACAACCAGTGCTGAACAGACACAATTCAATAGATACTTACACTTTTGCTGAAATATGGCCTACAGATGGAGACAGGAACACAAACTAGAGACAGCAGGAACCTCACAACAGAGAAATACTGACTACAACAGCCTACAGAAGCTCTTCAACAGCACCAGACAGCTAAACCCTCCTGTCATGACCTCCTCATCTCCCCTTTTTCATGATCAGAAGTTTTGTGTCACTGCAAACATGCTAAAACCTTCATTTCAAAGACACCTCAGAGCAGGGAGTTCTCTTCTGGTCAACGGCTTTTCTGCTCTTGCACTGCAAATGCAAGTGAGTAAAAACTGAAATCAGATCTCCAAAACTTTACAACTTGACACCATTCCTTCCTTCCTTCCAAGCAGACCAAAACTACCTCTCCTCAGTATTCCCTTTTCTCTCCCACTCACTCGCTGTTCTTTAATCTACAACCATTCTTTCCTTAATTACAACAGCAGGAAAGGTAGCAAGACAGAGCCTGTGTCCACGGAAGTGTAACGTCATTCACTAGAAGCATCTTAGCATTTTCAGAGCTCCCTTATGCATCCCCTCTACCACATGCAGCAGGACAAGCTTGTCATGTTGCCCACAGCGCTGCCTGCATCCCAATCCAAGCATTTGGGATTAATGTGGGTTGGGTGACTTGACCAAAAGATTTATTTTCTGTTATGGTGCCTGTCCTCATGTCTGAAATTCATAGAATCATCAAGTTGGTTGGGTTGGAAAGGACCTTAAAGCTCATCCAGATCGAAACCCTGCCACAGGCAGGGACACCTTCCACCAGATCAGGTTGCTCTAAGCCCCATCCAACCCGGCCTTGGTATCCAACCTGGATACCAAGATGAACGGAACTTCACTAAAAGTCTATCTCTTAGGAGCTGGCTACATTTTAGTAACACAAGGGATTTAAGGCTTAAGGAATTTAAGGAAATGATGCAGCTCTGCTGTCACTGAGACTCCACATGGCAAAGAATAATCACTAATATATTTGAATCACTTTTCAGAATTAAGAACTCACTGGAGTGATGCAGAGTTTCCAGCCCCTCCACCCTTCCCCAGGCTCAAGCAGACCCTCTGCACGAGATTCAGGCTTCAGCTTTCTTCTCAGTATCAGCATCAGAATCTTCTCAATATCACAGTCATTCAAAATTGAATTAAAATCCCCATGAAGAGAACAAAATCATATAAAAGTAAGGGAGAGGACAACTCAGACAGGATGAGGACAACTCACCTCATTTTAGGTGTCCAAAAGGTATCTCAAACTCCAGGGTGCCCCTAAGCCACCATCGCAACCAAGAAGACGACGACAGCTCAGTCTGACTTCAGGCACCTGTCTTTGGCTACTACTAGCTGCCTGGACATGCCTATCACATGCAAGCAGAAACGAGCTGGCCTAGTTCAGAGTTACAATGACAACTTCAAAAAAAACCCTAAATTAGGCAAAATGAAACCCATCTTTGCTCTGCCAGCCCAGACTCCTGCAATAAGGGTTCCTCTCCACTGTTTCCAGCCCTTCCAGCAGAGCCAGGCCTGGCTCTAGTCCTGCCCTGGAGCTGGCCAAAGCTGAGTTCAGCCTGCCAAAGCCTGCCTGTGGGCAGAACCTCCCTAGCATCATGCCACGGTCTCACCAGCCATCCCTGCCACAGCCAAAGGGAAACCAATCACCTCTGCAGAGACCAAAGGAGATGAGCAGACACTTTCCATGTGCAGGCAGCAAGATGGATCAGCTCAAAACCCTCTATTACTTTGAGAATACAGTGAAAACAAAGTCTGAAATATAGATTTTTTTTAAGTTCAGATCTCACTCCTCAGTGAGACAAAGTAAGATGAAATGCAAGCATTATAAGCCTTATATTCCAGACCAAATTGCAATCATCACTGGGTCTGAGGGGAAAAGAACAAGCAGACAAATAGAAAGAAAAAGAATAGCCTAGAAGCAAACACATTACTAAAACATGGAACTTTCATATGTTTTGCTGAACATATTGGTGCTGAGCACTGGTAGAGATGAGACAACCTGAAACAGACAAGCAACAAGGGCTTGCAGGGTATTTCCAGTGTCCCCAGCACAGGGCAGCTCTGCAGGGCCAGGAGGCTTCAGCTGCTGGCAAGAGAAACATCCACCTCTGAACTAAGCAAAAATTGAGCCTATATAAAAGTATATGAAGTGCAGTACAAGTACTGCAGACATTTCTATGTATCACACTTCACAGGTGTTTTACCTCAAGCACTCTACAGATTATCTTTTAAAACACCACAGAAACCACAGTCTTTTTATTCAATAATCAACTGTCCTGCTGCATCAACTTTGAAAAGGGAGAAATGCACCTGATTGCAACCCCTGTGTAACAGCAGTGCCCTCCCCTTCCTCCTCAGAGTAAAGAAATACATAAATATTCAAAGCAGAGAGAAGCCCAGCTGACATCAAAAGGATGCTGAAGAGATGGGGGCTGACTAGGGAGAACTGGTAGCTGGAGACCCTACACCCATTGGGAAGGAAAGCAGCACCTCTACCACTGAAGTAAAAAGTAGAGCATTTTGAAGTCAGAAAATGAAGAGAACTATGTTTTCAGGGTAAAGTTCCTCTCTGGGATGTGTTCAGCTCTGGGGCAACAGCACAAGAGGGACATGGAGCTGCTGGAGCGAGGCCAGAGGAGGCCACTGAGCTGCTGCGAGGGCTGGAGCAGCTCTGCTCTGGAGCCAGGCTGCGAGAGCTGGGCTGGGGCAGCTGGAGAAGAGAAGGCTCCTGAAGGGGACACCTTAGAGTAGCTCCAGTGCCTAAAGGGGCTCCAGGAAACCTGGAGAGGGGCTTTGGACAAGGGATGTAGGGACAGGACAAGGAGAATGGCTTTAACCTGCCAGAGGGGAGATTGAGATGAGCTCTGAGGCAGAAGCTCTTCCTTGGGAGGGTGCTGAGGCGCTGGCACAGGGTGCCCAGAGAAGCTGTGGCTGCCCC